TCTCTTTCTTTTTATAGACAATAAAGACTGGACTTACAATGGTTGGGAAAGTAGTTACACAGCTGACAGGGACACTGCCATCAGGAGCAACTGAAGAAGAAATTTTAGCTCATAGCAATACGCGTCGAAGTCCTCTGGTGCCTGGAATCATCACTGTTATTGATACTGAGACTGTTGGAGAAGGGCAGGTAATATAATTTGCGGGGGGGGAGCATCTGAAAGCCCCTTAACTTTCACAAAAGCTTTGAATTAAAAATTGAATTGTATGCTTTTTGCAAATGATTTTTGCAAGGTCAGCAAAATTTACAGATGCACAAAGCTGGGGCAAAGGAAGTGCTATTCAGATCTGAATTTAAGCCAACATGTATTTAGCCCCTAATACATATTTACATGACATTTTGACAACATCAAGTGTGGAATGTCACTTTTTGCGTCTGTAACACTTGCTCAGAATTGACATTGATTTGTACTGACCAGTTGTAGTGTGCACGGTCCGATTACCTTTATTAATATGTAGTGTAGAGGAAATTCTGACTGCAGCCTAGAAAGAGGGTCAGTTGTTTGACACGGTGTACAAAAGCAGTAATCATGAGACTGTGGCTAGCTATGTAATGTAATTTGGGAAGAAATTTTGCAATCGCTTAGCTTTTCAAAACTTGATTGTAAAGGAGCAGTAGCCTGCATTTTAACAAGTCATTAACTGTATCATAAAAATGAACTGTGCTGTCAGAAAAACAACACGGTGACATTATACAGTACAGTGTACCATGAAAAATTATCAGTGGGAAAACTTCTTACATCAACCATTTTAAACTGAGACGAATGTTCTGAACTAAATTTCTTTATGAAAGTGAAGGTATCATAAGAGTCTTGTATGTTTGCTTCTCTTTGTTTAATTTTTAAGAACTTAATTTGGGAGTCTTTATTCAGGTGAGATCCCTACTATTTTGTAAATTGACATTTTACATAATGTATTTATCAGCATTTACTTTAAAAAAAAAACACAACAAAACACAACACAAAATATGCCCCTAGTTCAGCACCACCCCCTCCTGTGTTCTAGGTGTATTGTGTGCATCTTATTGTAGTAAAATTTTAAAAATAATCAATAGTGATGTTAAGTACATTTCTTAACTGAAGGTAAAAACAATATTTTTCTATCCAGGAATATAATATACTTGGCTGCTTCCAGGAATTAATTCAAAGAAATATTTAGCCACATCCATACTATGCTGAAAGGAGATTTATTTTGGATGGAAGACCCTTCTTTCTCAAAAATCAAATAAAACAAAACCTGAAGAAAATAGCACGATTATTTTATTTAAGATTTTAGAGACTCTGTTTCTTAAAAATCTGTTGACCTTTGGGATTTGTTTTGTTTCCGGGAAAAAAAATTCTGTTGACTTTTCTTCTAATGTCAGGAAAAAAAAAAAGAAAAATCCTACTTCATAAATTTCTCATGAAGCCTTGTTTAATGTGGTCATTATTTCTGGTGGTCATTGTCTGTGTTGATGCTTCTGCATAGGCTGAGAAATAAAATGATTTATCTTAGCTTCTTAAGTCTTGTTATATGTGATTTAGAGGTTTTTATGAACTTGTCCTTTGACCTTAACAGTAGTAGGGACCTATCAAACCTAAAGAAGACTGTAGAAAAGTAGTTATAAAAAATGACAATGCTTGCTTTGCCCAAGCAATACTTCACTGGCATAAATAAGCCATTATTGCCAGTAAAACAATTTAGGTTTTGTCTTAAACCCCTGATGTAGACAGTATTCTTGAACACAGAAATAACTTTTAGTTGTTCACATTATTATGAGTTGGGATTTGAAAGCACTACTGGAGTTCATAATTTGTTTTTGGTGGTGAGACTTGGGTCTCAGAATTTTCAACTTCCTTTTTTTTAATTTGCCAAGAAAGGAAAAATAACCCTTCTTTGCCATTTGTTTTTCTCATCACCAACGGCCCTTGGATATCTTCAGGCAAAAATGTGGGCGTGTCAAAGAGGCTTGACAAAGACAGGATATATTTTCAGTTGTGTTTAAGAGGCCTAGAAAATGTCTGTTGTTGAATTTTCTGCCTCTACAGGGTACCTTCCTGTATAAGGTATGTGCTGTGCACTTGTGGTCCTTGCTGGGGCATTGCTAACCCTCCCTCCCTTCGTTTCCCCCATTGCTGAATGGAAATAATCCATCTGGAGCATGCTGCTTAGCTCGAACATGGCAGAGTTGATTTCTGCCCGTTACATGAATTGACGAGTGCCTAGGAGATTGGCAGTGCTCCTGCTGTCACGCTGACTGTAGCAGGCAGGTCTGCAGAAAGTGGCACGTTAGTGCGTAGATGGCACAGATTTGCACTCGCTGGGTTTACATGGCTAGTTTTGCAGCATAATTGATTAAGGCTCCAATTCCGTAAAGCACTTAAGCACACGTCTGACCTTTTAAACATGAGCAGTCATGCTGAACTAAATGGGGTTGCTACATTTCAAGTGAGGCACAGGGATGAGGCAGGTATGAGATGACACTGGGTAGCATTCCTGCTTCTACCCATGTAGAAAGGGAAGAGTCAGGATTTGTGGATTGGATGAGTTATCTCTGTTGGAAGGGGGGGATGTATGTGCTTACTGCCAGTTTAGGCCTTCCTAAGTTGCATAGGAAACCACTGGGAATCAGTGGTGCCAAATACATTTGTTTTCTGCACTGGGTTAATCCTTTCCACGTACTGCAGTCAGTGATTTGTGTAGCCACTATTTTTTGTGCATGACTTGAAAAGAGTTTTTAGAAGCAATCCTAGGTCTGGGGGCCATTTTCAGAGACACTGAATATTTGACTCACAATGTGCCACTGAGAACTTCCTTCCTTCTCTTCCAAGCTAGCCCCTTATCTGACATAGTACAGTGACCAATTACAATGCCCTGTCTCCCGTAACTTAATGCAGAGGGCAGCAACATATTGCCTGCAGGCTAGATCTGGCTCACAAAGCCACTGGATCCAGCCCAAGGAGCGGGGGCCTCAGGGCCAGACACAGGCATGGGCAAACCGGGCAGCTGCCCAGGGCCCAGACAGAAAGGGGGCCTGAAAATGTTTTTGGGGTTTTTTTTCCCCCCCTCCATTACCTGATTATTATCATCATTATCTCTGGTGAAGGGGGGCACGATACTAAAAATTCTCCCGGGGCCACCAGGAGTCTAGGTACGGTGCTGGGGGGCCATCAGTGGTGGGAGGCTTTGCCCCCGGTCATGCTGGGCTGGGCACTTGGACCATGCGGTGCTGAAGCTGGGTAGCAGAAGGAAGTGGTGGCAGGGCCTGGGTCCTAGTGCCAGCCTGTCTTTAACTGGAGCTGGGTCATTCCAGCCCGACAATGCTGGAAAATGTTACCGATCCTTGATCTAATGGAATCAAACAACTGTATCATCAGAAGAATAACCTCTTGAAGATGAGAAACTGTAACTATAAAGATATGAAATAAATGCAGAGTTAGCAAGTGTCTTTTGCCAACACTTTAGGAAGTGACTTTGTTTCTTTTCAAATGGAGGAGGATGAATTAAATGAAATGTTTTGAGGGGAAACACAGTCCGTAGGGCCTACAACAGCAGGGCGTCTGTTGACCTCGGAGACGGTGGTTTGTGTCCATCTGTGTGCACAGGTGTGCAGATTCACCTGTGTGGAAGATGACTGTGGAGCACGTTTTGAATAGTTGGGCCAGAAGTATTAGTAGTGATGATTTAAAGTCCTTTCTTTCATCCGGCCTACCCTTTTTCACAGGCAATCACAAACGTAGCAAACATGCTTAAGGTATTTCATGAGATACGGTAGCAAACGGTTCCTTAATTTGAAATCTTATTAGCCCTCTGCTGAAAAAGACCACACGTCCCAACAACAGAGAAATCTTTGAATTTAAAAGTGTTAAATCTCTGGCGAAAAAAAATATTTTTAGTAAACCCTATTAAGGTGGACATCTCGGTGAACTCTCGCATGTGGCAGTTGTTTAGGCGATAGTTCCTACTTTTAAAAACAGTGGTACTTTGAAAAGGTTTGAACCATAGTGTCATTAAAAGAAAAGTGTAGAAATGTTGAATTATTGGATTTGGCTGTCACGTTGTATATGAAAACTGAATAAAAATAATTATCAAGAAGCCTAAGTAACTTTGTGGTTAGCCAAAATATGTTAACAAGGTTCGTGTGCTTGTTTAAACTTCTTTTTAATGAAGTGTTAGCAAACTTTTCAGTTAGCTGTAATGGCTATTTATTTGGATCTGTTAATTAGTTGAAATGGATAAAAATAAACCTATACAGATGTCCCTATTTTATAATTGGAAATAAATGCATAAACCATTAGTGGATTGAGTTTTAAAGAAAAAATAATTTTCTTTCGACCTTTGATTCTTTATTCCTAATTAATTCATCAACTGGGCCACCCACATTTAGTCCGCAACAATGACCTTTCTTAAAAGTCTGCAGTTTTGTGACCGAATATAAATCTGTTAAACATCTAACATTTACTTGACAGTTTAAATATGAGGGAATTTAAAAGTAAAAAGCTTTATTTTTTTGTTTAAATGTTTTTGGTAGAGTGATTAACGATAGATCATCATGTCAACCTCAGATTATGCAAAATACGTGAAAATTATTTGAGACAAATTTTCAAAATTTACTTAGAAAAGTAACCTTTAGTTTTTTTTATATTTTAAAATATGATCGGTAGGTTTTTTTTTTTTCCCTGTTCCTTATTAACGTTTTATTGCATTAAAGAGGAATTCTCAGAGAAAAAAAAAGACTGCTGCAGTTTCAAAAGTTCATTTCCATTTGGTAAGGAGTTGATAACAATTGAACCAAATAAAGATCCTTATCAGGTAGCAAGAACAGTTGTGAAACTTCAGTCTAAAACAAAAAGAAGTTTAAAAAATAAAGGTATTCAATAGTAAATCTGTAACTACATGCACAATCCCACTGGTTATTCATGCCAGCACTTTATTTATAGAAAAGTGCAATTTTCAGAAAAGATAATTTGATACGCTAACGCTTGTATACTTGGCATTGGCTTTCTTCACTTTTTATATCTACATGTATTACAGAAGAATTCTCTTTATATGTAATATAAAAAGAGCAACAGGATTCCCTCAGAGCATAATACTGTCTGCCTTACTTTTATTAAAGGGGATCTGTTTTTTGTCAAGAAGACATTTTTGTCT